TCGTCTGCCCAAGAAGCGTCTGTGTGCACAGTAAGGACCACTGGCCTGCGTCCTCCAAGCACTAACCCCATGCCCGATGTACTTGCTAGATATCGCAAAACCTCTTAGCGGCCGACCAGTGCTGTGGTCGGTGTCTGCCTGTGGCCACAAAGCGAGCCAGAATGCTGAGAGGGTATGCGAGATCTGGTCAAGTGCAAGTCATCAGGTACATGAGGCAGCCCACCAGCTCTGCGTAGGGGCCGCTGGGGTCTACTGGCTCCTCAGGAACGGGAGCAGAGAGCCCATGGTCTACAGGTAGAGGTGTGGGCTGTGCGGAGGAGAATTGAAGACCAAACCTCTGAAGGACCTGACGCACCAAGTGTGACTGAGTCAGAATGATGGTGCGTGCTGCTCTGTCCCTGGAGATCTGCAAGCCAAGGTAGCGATGCAGCTCTCCAAGGTCGGTGCAGGTGTGTCTCTTCAGCAGCTCGGCCTTCACAGAGGCCAGCGAGTCCCTGTCAGCAGTAGCGCAGACCAGGTCATCTACGTAGACAAGGATGTAGAACAGAGTCTGGCCGGAACGCACAAAAAGTGAGGGGTCAGCAGTGGATGGAAAGAACTGCAGGTCTGCTAGCGTGGCACGCAGCGTGTCGTGCCACTCTCGGGAGCCTGGCACAGGCCGTAGACCGGGCGCATGAGAAGCCACTGGGTCCCAGGGGGGAAGGTATCAGTGAAGCTCTGTGGTCGGCGCAGGTAGACCTGCTCATGTAGGCTGCCCTGAAGAAAGGCAGTAGAGAAGTCGAGGGAGTGAAGCTCGTAGTCACGCTGTGCTGCTACGTGTAGCAGTGCCCGAAGAGTAGTCATCTTCATGGTCAGGGCGAAGTTCTGGAAGAAGTCCACCCCCTCGCGCTGACTGAAGCCTCTAGCCACGTAGCGCGCCTTGAAGACAGGCGGCTCTCCAGGGGGGCGCTTGACCTTGAAGAGCCACCGACCATCGACTACGTTCACCCCAGGAGGGAGAATTGCGTCGACGTAAGTGCCGGTGGACCTCCAAGATGCCATCTCCTGCTCCATGGCAGCTATCCACTGAGAGGCCCAGGGTCCCCAAGTGGCCTCAGCGTAGGTGCGAGGGGTCGGGATGTCGAAGGCGTCTGGGTCACCCTCAGGGACTAGGAGCATGGAGCAGAGATGGGGAGCGGCCTCGGAAAGGAAAGCAAGCTCGTACTGGCGGTCCTCCATGACGTCACTGCCAAGGGCAGGTGCACCTCCGACGGACTGAGGACGGGAAGGGTCAAGAACAAGAGCGGTAGCGTAGTCAAGGTGGTGGGTAGAGGCGAAGTTAGCGACAGCAGCGACAAGCGCGTCAAGGCGCGAGATAGGAACAGACGGGTCTGTAACAAGAGAGGCAAGGACCCGAAGGACAAGGGGACGAGCGGCACGGAGGTAGTCAGAGAGCGGGGGAGGTGCATCAATAAGCAACGAGGGAGGAGGCGAGGGGAGGGGGGGAGGACGCGACGAGTGGGAACAGAGCAACATAGGGTGGGAGCGCAGGACAGGAGAGACGGGACGAGCACGTGAGGGACGGCGAGACCAAACGTGTGACGGAGGTGTAGGGTCAGGAGACAGCAAAGGGGACACAAGAGGGGAACGAGGAGGAAGACGGGCCGGAGAAGAGTCCGGGGGCGGGAACAGAGGGCCGGAGACAGGAAGAGGAGAAGGGGGAGGGGGAGACACCGGCGAACGGTCAGGGGAGGAAAGGCCGAGTAGGCGAAGAGCGGAGACTGGCGGCGACGGCTGGGTCTCGACCCGCTGACCGGCAGAACTCCCAACGGCAGCACCCCCCGAACCAACACCCCCAGAGCGAGAACCCCCTCCAGCACCAGCGGCACCCCCTGGCCCGCCGGGACAGACCACGCCAGGAGCCGCAAGACGAGGGAACGTGGAGGCCTGTAAGAGAGCCCGAGGGAACGGCTGGACAGGGAAGGGAAGTGGAGCTGCGAGCTACGACAGTTCCCGCGGAGGGGTCAGCAAGAGCGACAACAGCAGGCGCAGCAAGCGGCGTGAGCGTGGAGCGGTCGCGGAAGAAGCAGGCAGAAGCACCGGAGTCGAGAGTGAAGGACAGTGAGGCAGTAGCTGGGGCAAGGAATGGAGCCGGTGCAAAAACTAGGCTAGTCAAACTAGGCAGTCCTACGCCTGACGCAGCAGGGGAGGCTAAGCTACACAAGGGTGCTACGCCTAAACTAGAGTACACAGGGTAATAAGATCCAGCAACACTAGAAGCGTCAGCATACGAGGCATGCAAAGCAGCACCTATCTGATCCATATCTAACTCAAAGATCGGCACGCCCTGGCGAAGCAGGCTGTGCCAGTCGGTGAGGTCTGGGGCCGGGCCAAAGCGACGACGAAAGAGATCGTCGAGGCGGCGGAAACAGCGGGCAGTCGGGTGCAGGCGGCGGCACAGAGTGCCGCGGAGAGGCCCGATCTGAAGCTGGTACTGGCAGGACACACCAACGGAGCTGCCGGTAGACGCCAAGCTGCGCGGGCCGCCACCACGGCCACCACCCACGGAGGTGCCGGGCCAACCGGGGGGGAGACGAGCCCACGGCTGGGGCTGGGACAGCTGCGGCGACGACTGCGACTGCTGTGACGGCTGCTGCTGGGGCGACGGCTGCTGCTCCTAACTAGCTGCGGCAGACCCTTCAGCAGAACTACTGTCCCCGCCACCACCACCACTACCACCAGCTCCACCACCACGCCCTCCCTGGTGGCCACGACCGGCGCGGCGCGGGCGCTGCTGCGAGTGCACGGCAGCGGCAGTCTCGATCAGAGGGGTCGCAGTGGCGACCGCAGCCGAAACGTCAGTAAACGTGCACTGGGAGGGGGCACAGCCATGAAAGATAGAGACTGCCGGTGCACCGCTCGACTGAGCGATAGTGCGTTGGCGAGTCTCGATCTCGGTCAGGGCAGTGACAAAAGCTGTAAGGGTGAGGTCACCCGGGTGCTGGCTAAGGATGTGGTCGCGGGCACTAGCAAGGCGGTCAGGCAGGCGCATAGCAATAAAGTAGAGGGTCATGCAGAAGGGGAGAGGGAGCGCAGTGAGCTGGGCAGCAGTGCTAGCAGTGCGGTAGCGAGACTCAAGGGCGCGCAGGTGAGTGGCAAGACCGGCAACAGTAGGGAAGGAAGCAAGGTCTGGGAAAAGCATAGGAAAGAGCAGGCGGCGTGCAGTAGCGGAGGCAGGCGTGGAATAGCGAGCAACTACAGCATCTAGGTAAGCCTTGGCTGTATCAACTGTAGCAAAACGCGAACGCTCAGGCACAGGGGAGGGCGTGACTAATAGCGACCTGAGCAGCTGCATCGCGAGAGTCCCAGATTGCACAGGCAAGTGGTGCAGCAGAGAAAGCCTCACGCTCAGTAGAGGTGGGGTCAGCAAGGAGGGGAGCAGGTGCAGGGGGGCGGGGGAGCAATCCATCAATATGGACAACCAAGGAATGCCCATCCTGACGCTGACCTGTGAGGTGACGGCGGAGATCGGACAGCCAGGCGGCGAAGTCAACCGCGTGGCCCTCCGCGTCCAGGCGGAGGACGAAGTCAGCCATTGTGCAGAATCAGCGACACAGGGACACAGCGGCACAGCTCCACAGGACAGCGGCAAGACGCTCCTTCGCGGCAAGCAGACGACACGAGCCGCAGGAGCCGGGCGGGCACTGGGAGTTGCAGGCCGCAGGAGCCGGGCGGGCGTATCGGGGCCGGGCAGGCAGTAGGAGAGGCCGGGTGGGCGCGGTGGGATAGACGGGCGCAACTGGTCGGGCGGGCGCTAGGAGAACCGGGCGGGCACAAGGAAAGGGCCTGGCGGGCGCTAGGAGGGGCCGGGCAAGCGCTAGGTGGGGCCGGGCGGGCGCTAGGAGGGGCCGGACGAGCGCTAGGAGGGGCCGGGCGTGCGCTAGGAGGGGCCGGGCGGGGGCTAGGAGGAGCCGGGTGGGCGCTAGGAGGGGCCGGCGCGCGCAGCAGACCAGGCGGGCGCGCTGGGGGCCAGGCGGGCGTTAGGGGGTTCAGGCGGGCGCGGTGGGGCCAGGCGGGCTCGGCGGGGCCAGGCGAGCGCGTTGGGGCCAGGCGGGCGCGACAGGGCCAGGCGGGCGCGGTGGGGCCAGGCGGGCGCGACGAGGGCAAGGAGGGCGTGACGGGGCCTGGAGGGCGCGACGGGGGCCAGGATGGCGCGACAGGGCCTGGAGGGCGCGACAGGGGCCAGGAGGGCGCTACGGGGCCTGGAGGGCGCGACGGGGGCCAGGAGGGCGCTACGGGGCCTGGAGGGCGCGACAGGGGCCAGGAGGGTGCTACGGGGCCTGGAGGGCGCGACGGGGGCCAGGAGGGCGCTACGGGGCCTGGAGGGCGCGACGGGGGCCAGGAGGGCGCTTTGGGGCCTGGAGGGCGCGACGGGGGCCAGGAGGGCGCGACGGGGCCAGGAGGGCGCGACGGGGGCCAGGAGGGCGCGACGGGGCCAGGAGGGCGCGACAGGGGCCAGGCAGGCGCTAAGGGGCGGGTGGGCGCTACAGGCCGAGCGGGCGCTAAGGGCCGGGCCGGGCTAGGTAGGTAGGGGTAGGCGAGCGGCTAGGGCGCGGGCGGAAGCGGGTGGATGGACCTAACCTACTCGATACCATGTCAGCATACGAGCATGATGGACTAGAAGGAGAAACAGGGAACATATAGCAGTTGGGTTGTACTCACTACGAGCACACACCGATACTAGCCTACAACTTCTACACACATGACATGTATCAGTTGACACACCCACCCCCCTGATTTTGCATGAATTTTGTACTATACCTGGGGTGTTATATCCGGGGGATTACGGGTAATCAGACTGAATAGACTGATAACATCAGCCCCGTCTCAGAGTAACGAATTGACTAGAATTGAAGTTACAGGGTAGTTTTGTGCTAATGTTGTACTCTCTAAGAGCATTCACCTATTTAGCCTATAATTACATATGCATATATGTTTGACACTTCACTTTTATAATCTTTTAACTCCATTCGTAGCTTGGAATGAGGCGTAGAAGTACACAACGCGTTCCAAATGCAAACACCATTTTCGTAAGATAATTCTTGATAACCTTCTGTGGATGCATGTAACCATTGAGGGTGATCAAGAATCATCCCACATTGCACCTACTACCCATCGCCCTGACAAACGATCACCAGCATCTTTTCCAATGCCGCTGCTTCAACCACTCCGCCAAACGCCGATGATTGTACACACAGTGCTCCTTTGTAGACACCCCATGATTGCACACCTCTGACAACCCTTCGCCCCTTGAGCCTCAACTGTCGGTTGCTTATCCGTCGATGCTTAGTGGGAACGCTCGCGGCCCCTGCCTTTGCCCCTCCCCTTCCCACGATCGCCACCCCTCTTGCTATCATGATCATCATCATGATCATCGTCATGATCATCATCATGATCATCGTCATGATCATCATCACGACCGCGGCCCCCGCCCCCACTGCCCCCTCCTCCGGACGAAGCAGTGTTGCAAGAGAAGTCAACGGTGAGACGGCCACTGGAAAACAAAAGAAGTTGATAAGGAAGAGGGAGAGGAAGAAGGAAGAGGAAGATGAAGAGGAAGAAGGGAGGAAAGCAATGAGAGGATGTTTCTCAGATGGTGTGAGAGACCGCGCCCGAGTCCGAGGCCACGACTACTATTCTCGCTATAAGCCACCATGTAGCATTCGATATAAGCCATCACAACAACACTCACTATGAGCCGCGGTGGAATCAGAGGCTCAGGGAACCCGAGGGCGAGTAGGCCCAAATGAGCGTGCTGCCAGACACCACTGTACTCGCTATAAGGTGACTCAACACTCACTATAAGCTTATTCAGATACTCACTATGAGCCGCCGTGGAATCCGAGGCTCTTGGAGCCCGAGGGGGAGTAGGCCCAGATGAGCGTGTTGCGGCCAGCCACCTGCACCTTCACTGCCGAACCTGTGCCCTGGGTTCGGGAGAACCTGGGGGGGGAAAGGGGAGAAGAGAATGTGATGAGAAGGGGGGGTTAGGATAGCAGGCAAGGGATGCATGGGCGGACGGGGGTTGAGAACACATGGAGGGAAGCAGGATCACAGCAGCATAAAATATGCAGCAGCATAAAAAACAAAAGCATGAACTGCTGCAGCAGCACACATGCAATGGAAGCGTAAGACTCCGCGGAGGAACCATGCCTTGACACATGGTGATTTTTTTAGTCGTAAGACTCAAAAGTCACGTGGACAGAAGCAGGATTGCAGCAGCATCAAAACTGCAGCACACATGCAATGGAGCCATAAGAAACCATGGAGAAACCATGGAGAAACCATGCTTTGGCTTGCGCCTATTCCACTGTAACACCTCTCTAAACCACAGCAAGGGCTCACTTGATGACTGTGGAGCCAGAAGCAGTGGTGGTGGTGGTGGCCGTCCCGATGCCGAAAGCAGTGGTGCGCTGGATCGACCCCATGGAGTACCCGTTGATCTTGTACGCAGCAACCCCCCCGCCAGCCATGTTGCCGAATACAGCATCAGCAGGCGCCATCTTGCTGCTCTTGGACCATGCCAGGGAGATCCAGCCGTTCTTAATGGGGGCGGTTCTGGCCTCAACAGCCATGTCGAGTCGCGAAGCAGAGGCTGGGTTCCAGTGGAGAAGCAAGCTGTTGAGTGGGGGGGGGGCAGTGGAGAGGGGAGGAGAGGGGAGGGTATGGGGCCTCGGTTGCTATGTTGAGTTGGGGGGAGAGACAGTGGGAAGGGGAGGAGAGGGTAGATGTAGCCGGTGAGAGAGGATCATGCGGAGCAATTAACGTGTGGTGGGGGGGAAGAAGAGGGGATAACACGGGAGGGGGGATACTTACTTGGTCCCCTTCAGCTGAGCCTGGTAGGTGTAGCCCGCTAGGGTGGAGGCGGGGCAGTTGGAGCCTCCCCCAGAAGAAGACGGCGGAGGAGGGGGGGGGGCGGAAGTGGCGGGAGGAGGGGGAGGCGCAGGGGTGGCGGAAGAAGACGCGTCACAGGAGAAGTCCACGTCAGCACTGCCACTGCGATTGGGGGAAAAAAGGGGGGGGGGGGGGGGGGGGAAAGAGGGGATGAGTGGAGGGGAAACTGACGAAGCATAGCTGGAGAAATCCACGTCAGCACTGATGTGTGTTGAGAAGAAGTGTGGGGGAAGGGAGAAGCATTGCAAGCAGCGCTTACTAGTTGCTGTTGTGGTAGGCGACGGTCTTGGAGCCGCCAGCCGAATAGGCCCAGATGAGGCTGTTGACTCCCGCCACGTCAACACCTATGGACGCGCCGTCGCCAGTCGACCTGGTGAAGCTGGCGAGAGGCAGAGGAGGAAGAGAGAGCGGGGAAGGCAGAGAGAGTGAGGGAGAGACACTACTAGTGTTGATGTCTTAGATACTACTAGCGCCCAGATGAGAGTGTTGACTCCGGACGCGCCGCCGCCAGTCGACCTGGTGAATCTGGCACGAGGTAAGGGAGGGAGGGAGGCAGAGAGAGGGAGGCGGGAAGGCAGAGTGAGGGAGAGATCGGCCGAGAGAGACGGCTTATGCACTGGCGCCCAGATGAGGGTGTTGACGCCCGCCACGTCAACACCGACGGACGAGCCGTCGCCAGTCGACCGAGTGAGCCTGGTGAGGGGCAGGGGAGGGAGGGAGAGAGGGAGAGAGAACGGGGAAGGCAGAGAGAGTGAGGGAGAGACGTCTTAGGCATGGAAGGCAGAGACGGCAGAGACGGCAGAGACGGCAGAGACGGCAGAGAAGGCAGAGAGAGTGAGGGAGAGACGTCTTAGACACTAGCGCTTGTACCCTCTACTAGATTCCTGCTCGCAATGTCATACTCACGCGGCGATGCTCGTCGTTCCCGCAGTCAAGGAACTCTTGTACCCGCTTTAAGCAGCTTTACTCACGCGGCGATGGTGGTGGTCGTTCCCGCAGTCAAGGAAACACTCCCCGGCGTGAACGCGGTTGTCGCCGCGACGCTGCTCGTCGAGTACCCAGTAATCCTGTACGCCTTAATAGCCGGCGTCGTGGCGAGGTTGCACATCACCGCATCTGCAGGCGCCATCGCGCCGCCCGACGACCAGCCCACGGCGAACCACCCGGTTCCAGCGCCGCTGGCCTTCGTCGCCTCTAGGGCCAGCTGGATCGTAGATGTGGTGGTGACGGCCCAATGCAGGCGGAGACTGGGGGAGGCCAGGGGGGAGAGGGGGGAGGGGCGGGAGGGATGAACAGGGGGAAGGGGAGCGGAAGGAGACGAGTTAGGTTCAACCGCTCAACCGCCGCGAGTCGAGAGGCTTGAAAGTCGCGAGGTTGCACATCACCGCGTCAGCCGGCGACATCGAGCCTGGGAGTAAGAAGAGCGGGGGGGGGGGGGGGGAGGGGGGGAGGGGGGGGAGGCGGGGGGGTGGGTGGGGGGGTAGGGGGTAAGAAGGGCGCACGCGTGGATCGGAGAAGGCGGGGAGGGAATATCGCACGCTCGGATTGTCGATGTGGCGGTTACCGCCCAATGCAGGCGGACTCGGCCTGGAAAGACGTTCCAGAGAGGGGGGGGAGGACGTTTGAATCGGGGTTTTCCTTTAACAGATGTACAATACGGACCGCGGGCTTTAACGCATCAAAGTCGACGAACTTACCCGCTCGCGAGGGCGACTGACGACGTGTAACCCGACAGCGACGACGGGTCGCACGTGCCTGTCGCAGCGGGCTTGACGCTAGTACCCTGCGCCGCCGGGATCCCCGCGCGCAGCGACGAGAAAAACCGCGACATGGCGGAAGAGACTGTCCCGCCCCAACCGGATCCCGCCGCCAGCGCGTTTTGCGGCAGCATCAGCGCTGCGAGAACCAGCGCCAGGAGCGGGAACAGGCGCCGCGTTGAAAGCGGCGCGCCGCGATTCGTGATCCTTCGTGATGACGGCTTTCCCGAGCAGCGCGAACGCGCAGCCATCGTTGACGAATTGAAGAGGAAGTTCGCCGCGGCGCGTGGGGGCGCGAAATGCCTAGGAGAAAGTCCTAGTAGGTTCGCGAAATGCAACGAGGGATGTTACTCGACTCCGAAAAGTTTCGGGCTGCGGTGGAACACCCGCTGATGATACTAGTAGTAAGGGCGACGGGTGCGAGGTGGTTGGGAGCGGGAGAGTGGCTGCGGCGGAACTTCGCGCCACTATGGTTCTCTCTCGCTCTCAGTTCAGCTAAGAGAATAACTAGGAGCTCTGGAAGCCAGCTGCTGAGGCTGGGATAAAAGAGGGTTAGGCCGCAGCTTGCTTTTATAGTTAGCTCACTAAGAGCCTCCTGAGGAGGGGAATGCGGGGGAGGGCTGGACGGGACAGGAGGATCGGTCCGGTAGTGCGGGAAGGGGGGCGTGTGCCGCACAGCTGTTCCTCAATCCCCATCGAAGTTGGGTGAGGAGGAAGTAAGGGGGGGAGAGCTATTCACGACTTCCGGGGATGTCATTTTGCGTTACAATACGGTGCGTCATGCTTTTAGTACGGTAAAAACAGTGTACCGAGTGAAAACGTTGCGAACCGTATTGTATCGTACGTTAACGTCCTCCAAGATGTTGTGTGTACCCCCCAAGGGGAACTAATCTGTCTGCGACAGCGAGGCAGGGATGAGCTCTTTGACTGACAGTGCGGTTAGGTTGGTGGGCTCCACCAATTTGGCTCCAGAAAGCCGCGCCAGTTTGGCACTGGTTCGGTTTGGTTGGTGATTTGGCGCACGCGCGGGGCTCGCGAATGCGCGTGACTGGGAGGTCGGTGAACACCAAGTGATCTCGTAAGCCAATCAGACGGCCCAAAATACGAGTTTGGTTGACTCCAGTCAGCATGACACAGGCTGGCCCCAGACCGACCACAGGAAATCCACGAGCTGTTGAGGCTGGCTGGAGCTGGTCAACATTATTCCATCATGCTGATCGCGTCGCGATGCAGTCACAGAAGAGGAGTGTGTCGGTCGGTGGCATTGAACAAAAATAGCGCGGGGAGGTCGGATTCAGCAGTGAAGAAAGTGGTGTCCTCCATATTAATTTCACCCATGCCGGGAGTTTCAATATTACAGTCATTACACTTACAACTTATGCATCCCCATAATTACTCAACCCGTGGGGCCGTTTCGTTGATTTAAAATGTTTAAATTCGCATATTTATGCATTATTTTTTAGAATGTGATTTTTCAATCTCAACCATTTCCACAGGCCATCGAACCTGCCTCGTATTCATGACTGTGCAACCATTAGTTTCATTCATCGGCCTTCCCATGCTCCTGTTAATGGAATTCTGAACTTCCATAATTCCGAGAGTTGTCCAAAACCACCACTAACATTTTTGGACTAGTGTGCAGTGCTTTACCTGGGTTGAGTACATCTAGACAAGTTATATAGTTAGTCCATATCGGATGTCGGAGAGACACTCCCTGAGCGCGGATGAAACAGCAAAATGGATGAAGTCTCTTCGCCTCGCTGAGTCAGAGTTTGCAGCTTGTCATTGGCCTGTCTCCTTCAGCAAGTCTCTGGTTTGGGTAAGAGCTCCAGCTTCGGCACACGCTCGAATGATTGTGGCACAAATTTCCCGCACTTGGAAGGGCCCTTTCTCCTTGCCCGCGACAGACAAAGTACAGTTTGATACTGTAGTATTCATTGAGAGGATTCCTCCACTCCGGTGAGTTACCGAACTTGTAATCATGCACAAACATGAAAGGAGCTTCATATTGCTGGTTTGGTCAGGGTGATCGCCAAGCACAGAAAGTCTCAAAACCCAACCTGTAAATCTGGTTCCTGTCGAACCCAAAGTTCTGCAAATCACCAGCATTCCGAACCTGTTGATTCAAAGGTTTAGCAGATTCTAGTTCCGAACCTTGAGGGGCTCACCACACCAACCTGGTTTGGAAGCAGCTGCGCACCACGGCCAAAAGGCAGAACCGAACCCGAACCTTCCCCGAACCTGAAGGCGCTAACTCAAGTGAACAGTGGTACCCTGGGCACCCGCTACTGGAGGAAAATCAACGGCGCGCGCACTGCTGGCAGGCTGCATCCATCGCATGGTCTACCTTTCTCCATCCAGGTGCATCTGCCGCGTCGCGCCAATGTCCCTCCCCCACCCACCTCCTCCCCCACCTGTTGTGCTTTCTGCGCCTCCGCCAGACAGCCCTTTCCCTTGTGTCCCCCCCACCCCCCTCCCCCCCACCTCAGTTGCATCCGCGCACCTCTATCGCGCAACCAACGCAAGCGCCCGGCCCAGCCCAGCGGCCAGGCCACGTGGCCCTTCTCCTCCCCCCCACCCCCCCCCCCTCAACCTCCCCCCTCCCTCCTCCCCCTTCTCCCTTTCTCTTTCCCTCGACCAAAATCCCCTTGCATCAGCCTTCCCGCTTGTCCCGTCGAGTACAGTATTTCAGTGATGGCTCGAACCGTACACAACTCAGCATCTTGCTCCCCCCACACGCCTAGCTACTAGTGCGCATGTGCTCTCACAAGCTGCGCTGACTGTCAGTTGTAGTCTTCATGCGACGTTGTCGTTGTCGCCCACCATCCGCCAATCCCATCCTGAGCCACTCATTCTCGCGGTGACTTGTGAGTCGACTCAAAAGTCGGCTCTACCCTCACACCTCGCGCCTCTCGCCTTCCTTCCGCTGATCAGTCGCGGGCTCGAATCGAGCCCCCAATGACCTCGCAAAACTTCCGCGGCGAGCGCCCCGTCGCCGCCACCGCACCCCTCGCGGACACCCGCCGCCCCTCCGCCGCACGCGCACGCCGCGCCCGCGGCGCCCGCGGATCCGCGGCAGTCTTGGCGCTCCCGATTCTGCTCCTCCTTATTCTCCTCCCGACGGTTGCGGCGCAGTTGACGTGGGGCGACTTGTTCCAGGGGATAATCGACTGGGCTGGCGGCCTCTTCAATGGCGACGGCGACGACGACAATGATGGCGGGTCTTCGTCTTCTTCGTCGTCTTGTACCGCGTCGTCGCTTACCGGATACACGTCATCTGTCAGCCTCGGAAGCTCGTAAGCGCTACAATTGGTGCATCTTATAATGCAGTCCCCGTTATCGGCTCGCCTTTCACTTCGCATTATTTCGCCGTGTCACGTTCCCCTCGCCGTTATTTCACGTTCCCCTATTTCCTCCCGTTCCTCATCCCCGTTACAGTCTCACCCTACATTGGACCATCCCCTCCGGCGGCAAGACGGTGAAATTCGCTCTGGAGGCGGATGGCGGCACGAACGCCGCCAACGGCTGGATGTCCGTCGGATTCTCATCGGACGGTGATATGTCGCCCGCCGACGCCGTCATCGGAAACATGGGCGGCACGGGGGTGTACGCGTATCATATCTCGGGATACGGTCTATCTGACGTGGCGCGAACCTCGTCGTTCACGATCTACGCGCCGGGGCTGTCTGCCACGTCAGCCAGAACGCTAATGACGTAAGCGTTCCATCCGTTGCCACTGGCGCTCCGTGCTGCTACCGCCGCTGCTCACCTGCGACCTTCTGCGACGTTCTGCGACTTTGTGCGACCCTTGTGCTTCTCTCCCTCCCTTCTATTCCCTTTTCTGTTTCTCTCCCTCCATTTTCTCATCTCCATTTTCTCATCTCCATTTTCTCATTTTCGCATCTCCTTCCCCTTCCCTCCCTCATTCGCTCCCCGCTACCCGTTCTCCTTCGCCTTCCTTCTCCATCCTTCGTCGTCCTTCGCCGTCCGAACCTGCCGCGCAGCTTCACGCGGTCCACGTCAGACGGGAGCGTGAGCGTCAAACCGAGCGGCTCCAACAAGATCATCTGGGCGTACTCCCCCTCGGGCTCTAAATCGCTCGCTTACCACGGCAGCAAATAGTAAGCCCCCACAACAACCCATCGGTACCCATATGTACTCCGGAGTTTCTCCCCGTGCCTGTGCAACAATCCGAGCGGCTCCGACATGTCCATCTGGGCGTACTCCCCCTCGGGCTCCAAGACCCTGGCGTACCACGGCGGCAAATAGTAAGCCCCACCAACCCAAACGAACCGTCTTTCCTTCTGTTCCAACAATGTTATCCGGGCTTTCTCCCACATTTCTCCCCCATTTCTCCCCCATTTCTCCCACATTTTTCCCACATTTCTCCCCCATTTCTCCCACATTTCTCCCCCATTTCTCCCCCATTTCTCCCACATTTCTCCCCCATTTCTCCCCCATTTCTCCCCCATTTCTCCCCGTGCCGTAGTAGTAACCTTCCCACCCTCTCCCCTTCCTCCTCCTCCCTTCCCCTTTCCCTCCTTTCTTCCCTCCTCCCCTCCCCCGCCCCCCGCCTCCCCCCCTTTTCTCCTTTCCGCACCCCCCCGCCAGTGGAAGAACGACCGTTGACCTTTCCTGTTCCTCCTCGGGGTCAGGCTCGGGGTCAGGCTCGGGGTCAGGCTCGGGTTCAGGCTCGGGGACGGGTAACGCCTGCACCAGTTCCACGCTGACAGGATACACCTACCAAGCTCAGCTGAACGGCAAGAGGTGTGTGCACTGTGCAACAAGCAGGGATGCCTGTAAAGGGGTGAAAGGCTTTGGCGGGTAATGCCTGCACCAAGTGTACCCTGTCTGAATACGCGTACCAATCTCAGCTGAATGGTGCAAGGTTTGTGCAGGGGTAGCTGGGGTGTGCGGAGGGGTGAAGAGGTGTGTTGATCGGTGGGGAAGTGTGTGCTGGAATGGAGAGGCATGAACATGAGTGATGAGGTATGCCAGGTATCCCCTGCACCAGGTCCACTCTGTCTAGATACGCCTATCAAGCTCAATCTGCTCCTACACTCGAACAAGACGCGCAGCAATGGCGCAGTGACAACGGCAGTGGAGGCGAAGTCAGAAGCAGCCAAGTCCGGGTGGATCTCCCTAGCTCTCACCTCTCCACTGCTTCCTGTGTTACCCTCCCCTTCCTTCCCTCCTATCCCCCTTACAGTCTTCTCCTACACTGGAACAAAGCCCGCAGCAACGGCGCAGTGACAATGGCAGTGGAGGCCAAGTCAGGAGCAGCCAAGTCCGGGTGGATCTCCCTCGCCTGGACTGCCAACGGCAAGATGGCTCCAGCTGATGCCGTCTTTGGGAACCTGGCGGGCGGCGCAGTGGGCGCGTACGAGATCAACGGCTACACTGTATCCTCCATACAGTCCTCCTCGCTATGGATCGGGCAGAGCCCTACAACGGTCACTTCCGCTTCCGGGTCTACGGTGGTCAAGTGAGTGGGGGACGGGGAAGGAGGGGGGGGGGGGGGGGGGGGGGGCGGAAGAAGGGGGGG